TGTCACAACTGTCCATTATGCTCAGTCAAGCAAGCGCTGTTTTTTTTTTTTTTTTTTTTTTTTTTTTTTTTTTTTTTTTTTCTTCATTCATCCATACCGCTTCCCGCGCCCCCCCTGCAATGGCATTGCGCCCCCCCTAGGGGGCGCGCCCCACACTTTGGGAACCACTGCTCTAATCACTGCCCATCACTGGCAAAGCATCTTTCTGGAAGATAGCATCTTCACACGTTTGCCATTGTGGGAAAATGAGCAAAGATTCTTCTGTATAAGTATAAAAAACAATCCACTGGACTCGGTTTCCAGGGCTTGAAGATGTTTCGCTTCCCGTCCAGGAAGCTTTCTCAATTCAAATGGTTGGATTCGCAGTGATTCTATATAAAGCCTCAAACTCACTGCGAATCTAAACATTTGAATTGAGAAAGCTTCCTGGACGGGAAGCGAAACGTCTTCAAACCTTGGAAACCGAGTCCAGTGGATGGTTTTTTATACTTTTACGGAATGACTATGACCTGGATGACTGAGATCTTCATCAGCAGAGCAAAGATTTGTTTAAAATTTGCCTGGAGACTAAAATGATTTGAAGATGTTCACATTTGTGTACATGCTGTGCACAAACTGATCTTTTCTTTGCAGCTTAATAACATTCAGCTCATTCATGTGTGACAATACAGTATGTCCACAGCAAACGCAAAGTCACAAAGCCAGTCCTCATCGCTCAGCTCAGGGAAGTTCAGATTTTTTTTTATTTTACCTTTATTTTACCAGGAAGTCCCTTGAGATAAAATCTCTTTTTTGAGTGAGACCTGGCCAAGAGGCAGCAGTACAGTAAGACATATAAGAACACAGGACAACATAACAAAATCAATCATAAACTAGACTCTAGAATAACAGTTACAATTCCGTGTGCAAGCGGTTTTCAATAGTGATTTCTAATGCTTTAGCGGAATAAGAGTCCGTAATTGCAGGGAGTTTTGAATATTGTGCCACGACCGTGGTGCTGCATAGAAAAATTATGTTTTGTCGAGATCTGTGTTGATCCTGGGAATAATGAAAAGAACACGACTTGAAGAGCGTGAGTTGTAACCACTGTTAGCTACAGACATGAGGTGACACAGGTATGGAGGGAGTTTACCCAGGATGGCCTTATAAATAAAAGTAAGCCAATGATGTTGTCTTCAGGTTAGAGAGGGCCATGAAACCAGAGCATACAGGTCACAATGATGAGTCCTGGAGGCAGAGTTGGTGATGAAACGTAAAGCACTGTGATAAACTATGTCCAGGGAGTGGAGAGCTGAGGAGGCGGCATTCATATATATGATGTCTCCATAGTCCAGAACAGGAAGGAAGGTGGTCTGAACAAGTCTTTTCTCACTGAGGGAATCAAAGAGGATTTTTGTCTGTAGTAAAAGCCGAGCAGGGCTTTCAGCTTTTTTAACATATTATCTAAATGTGTTGTGAAAGACAATTTGTCGTCTATCCAGATACCCAGGCACTGCTGCCTTGCAACAAGAAGGTTCTGGGTTCGATTTCCGGGATCTTTCTGCATGGAGTTTGCATGGTCTCCCTGGGCATGTGTGGGTTCTCTCCGGGTACTCCAGCTTCTTTCCACAGTCCAAAAACATGATTGTTAGTTTAATTGGCTTCTCTAAATTCTCTTTAGGTGTGAGCGCGTGCGTGAATGGTTGTTTGCCCTGTCCAGGTTGTACCCTGCCTCTTGCCTGTAGACAGTTGGGGATAGGCAGCAGCACCCCTGCTTGGGATAAGCACGACGGAAGATGGCAACATATTCTCATTATCAGTTCGTATGAAATCATACGAAAAGTGATGCACAGTATTTCGTAGGTTTTTGACGTTTATTTCGTCGTATTTTTACGTCTTGCCTCGAGACAAGATATCAGTGCGCATGCACATCTTACGCATAACATACAATTTAACATACAATTAACCCTAACCTTAACCCTAACATACAAAACAGCAAGCAACCTAGTGAGAGACATCATGAAGTAATTATTGCACTGTGGAAAGCTCGTCCGTCCCAGTTTTACGTCCGTCCGCTGATCTGCTTTTTTTGTCTGGCTGGCTGCGCATGCGCACTGATATGTTTTTTCGAGGAAAAACGTCAAAAACCCACGAAATACTGTGCATAACTTTTCGTACAATTTCATACGAACTGATAATGAGAATACACTGAAGATGGATGTACTTTATAAGGTTGTTCCTCAGCATTTTGACTAGACCACTCTACAACCTAAATTTTGTTTTATTCTACATTTTTTCTGTAATATTAGTTTTTGTTCAATTAAACATACAGAAGCACATCTTCCAGAGAGTTTCACTTTTTAGCCAATATATTGTGACTACTGTAGTTTTACTCAATGTTTTCTTCATCTATTGATAATTCTTTTCAGGATTTCTGTTATGTAAAGGCCTAAGAAGTGGCTTTGTAACCCTTGCCAGACAAATAGTCGTGACTTTGTTTCTCACCTTTTGTTGCATTGCCTTGAGTCTGGCCAAAACTTGTTGTTTAGCCTATTTCATGTTATCAGACAGGTTTTTATTTTAGTGATGTGTTGTTTCCGAAGGCCAGACAGTAATCAAGCGTGGATGTGACTTCTGAAACTTAATTCTTCTGACAAAAAGGTGGTTTGCAAAGGTTACTTAATGTTTTCAAAGAGGAGTAGATGAAGTAGGCAGATTACTTTTTCTGACAGGTAAGGGCTGATATAAAGAACCATTTTTACATCAACAAGGATGTCAGCACTTGAAATCACCTACTCTTTTTATTCCTACTTTTGTTTCTTTTACAAAAGCAATCTGTAAGTTTCCAAATACTTTCATACAGTAAAGTATGTATATATACAATCTTATCAATAACATATATTAGTTTAAGCTTCAAACCTCCACACTTTAATATGAAATATTTTCTCATGATAATGCTTAAATAAAAAGAAGAGATTAGTTTTGAGTAAAAAACAAAAACATAGTTGTGGTATGTAAAACACGGCGTAAACATACAACAGATTTGTTACAATTTTATGCTGCTTCATTGCTTTTCAAGACTTGCTTCATTTCTTGATTTTCTGGAGTTCCCTTTTTCCTGCAGAAAAAAAACATATTAAGCGAATAATGGCAAATACATGTTAACAACAAAACAAACTAGATACATTAAATCAGTATCTAAGGAAACCTGAATAGAATGGCTAAAAAATATCCAAACTATAATAGAAATCATAATCTAAAATAAGCATACTAACAATATATTGATAAAAGTACAATAAAACAGGATTAAAAAGCTATAGTCTAACTATATAAAGAGAACAGTCCATAGTTTGAGCGCATCGGCCGTATATATTACCGTTCAGGAAACTCGACATCCTCAATGGTATCAGGGAGAGCTACTCCTTTGGTTTCAGGCAGAAGTAGAACCAAACCTCCAGCTATGAGAGCAACAACTCCTGTATAGGAAAAGAATTTAAAAAAAAATAATAAAAACACACAGTTGGAGATCACAAATGAAGGATTTGACCTTGTTTTTCTTTGCTCTGTGTGAAGACAAAAGTACATATATATATATATATATATATATATATATGTATATATATATATATATATATATATATATCAAAAACCCTGGTTTAAATGGGGAAACACAGAAAGCTGCTGCGATGAACAGATTGCAGAAAAGAAAGGTAGATCCCATACATTTTATGTAAAATTATAAAAACTGTCTGACTCTTTATAGAGCTTGAATCGGTTGATAAGTCAATGATCGATTCAATATTCCAACAAAAACATCTGATTGTGATCAGAAGTAGATTTCCTTATTTCTACTATTACAGTTTTATACTTCTGGTTCTCCTCAGTAAAACCATGATTACTTTAATTTATAGTAACGTTCCTCTCACTCAAATGATAGTGCATGGTGCTCTCTCCTCCTGTTTTGGGTTGACAGGTTCTCCTCTCTACTAGAAATAAGTTTGAGCTTATTTTATTATAATTATTAAACAGTAATTGTAGAAGAAAATAACTCTCATTAGTTGATAATTAGGCTGATTACCCAACTGATTGTACCTGTTGGGACATAGCACTTTGATTTGTTCATAACCTGCATCACAAAATGGGATATATATATATATATATATATATACAACTAACTGCTATATGCTGAGATAAGCAACTAATAGTATCTACACACAGTAAAATGAAATGTCTGGGAACTTCTTTCTCTCAGGATTTAAGAATTAATAGTAAAATTTACCCTGGTGATAAAGACAATTGGTCTTTTGAACTTTTTCAAACAGTTACGTTTAAATGGTCACCTAACATGCTTGACACTTGGGAATGAATATCCCTACAACATCCTGAATCAAATTAAAACACCATTTAGTAAAATGGGAAATAATTCTGCTATTCCTTTTTGGGGGCGTCAGAATAAATCACCAAGCTGTTATATTTGTTTATGTCCCTCCCTGTTTGGATCCAGGTGACCACTTTTATAAAAAAAAAAAAAAAACGGTAAATAAATAAGTTAAAAAATCTCCTTTTTCTTCCACAGAAAAAAGGCCAGAATCCCGGAGTACTCAGACACTGATAAGAGTAACAATAAAGAGAGTGCGCCTGATAATACCTGGAAAAGTAGAAAAGCTCTTCAAGTGCTAATGAGAACACAGCAGAACACCAATGACATTAACATTAGAGACCTACCAAAGATTATGAGTGGTAGTTCGAGCCAGATGCTGGCCAGTCTGTAGAGCAAGAAAGGCGAAACAATTCCTCCAACGTCACAAAGAGTGGAACAAACTGACACCCCCAGGTTCCTATTATTGATTAAAAGGTTGGAGAGATACATCAGCTTAAAAGAAGTCAGCGACAAAAATCTTACCCAATAAACACTTTATTTATGTCAGCATGTTCACCTGAGAGATGTTGGGTAGAGCTCAGTGTTAACAAACACCACCATCTCAAAGGCCATAGTAATCCCAAGCCGACCAATACTGGCCACTGTGGTCTTTATCCAGAACATGCCTGACGGAGAGGGAACATTTATCCAACAGCCGTTTCATGCTTTTTAATTATTAAACATTAACCTAAACAAGACTTACTGTCAGGAATGAAGGCAGTGATGATGCAGGAGACTCCAGCTACGATGTTGGCGGAAGCAAAAGGAAGCCGACGGCCGATGCGCTCAATCGTAAAGATGATGAGGAAAGCGGCGGGAAACTCAACCAGGGCGCAGATGAGGAAGTCGATATAGACGTTTCCTTTTGTTATCCCGACCCGCATGATGAGACCCTGATAAACCACAGCGCTGGTGAACCTAAGGAATGAAGACATTAGAAGTGAAATCTTTCCTACATGCTCAGGCTGGAATGATTTGTCAGTTCAGATGGGTCTGACCAGTTAAACATGAGGATGAAAGTGTGTTTTCTCATATTGGGGGTTCTGATCAAGTCCAACAAAGAGGTAGAAGTGGACTCCACTTCATCATCAGTTAATATCTATGATAAGACACAATTAGTTAAGATTAGTTTCCATTATATTTAATAGTAGCTTGCATTATTTATTAGATTGCTAAGAAAATATGTTAAAATATACCACCCCCATTTGGTTTCACCACGTAGCTATTTTGTAGATCATCATACACTGTTCTTAACAGCACATACAGTTGTCATGTTTTTCAGTAGGCATTAAAACAAGGACAGAATAGTGCCACGGATTAACTCAATTCTGTCAGTAGATATAATTTTAAGGACAGCAACATCACCATATTTAATTAATAATAATAATAATAATAATTGAACTGTCAAAAGGGAGTTTTTCCTCTCCACTGTCGCTACAAGCATGCTTAGTGTGAGGGATTGCTGAAGAGTCAATGGGTCGATGCAATCAACTGGTTTTCCTTAGGCAGAAAACTTTGAATCATTTTGACAGGATGATCTGGTGAACTGGAAAGTGCCTTGAGATGACGCGTTGTGAATTGGCGCTATAGAAATAAACTGAATTGAATTTAAACTTTATTGATCTCACATTGGAGAAATTTACCTCTAAATTTAACCCATCGCCTTGGGGAGCAGGAGGCTGCCATTGTGCGTCGCCCGGGGAGCAATCAGGGGTTAAGTGTCTTTGCTCAGAGACCCAGAGTGGAAGTCTGTGGTAGTGGGACTCGAACTCAGAACCTCCGGATTCCAAGCTTTATGCCCCTAACCAAGATTAAAATTAAATTTGGCCACATTTGCCTAGACAGAGAAAAGCGCTAAATGGCTGTGGGGTAAAATGACTTACATCCTAAAAAATAACTGTCCCTTGAAAAAATAATCTGTCTTAGTAAATTCAGGTTTGAGTCAAATGTTTGAAAAATCTTTCCTACACGGATGAAAAGGCACAAAAAAAAGACGTAGCATCTTTATTGTGTTGAAGAAAGAAGGGTCCCTTGTTCATTTTCAAAGGAGTTGGCACCCCTGCTGGTAACTAACTTTATTTGATTCATGTCAAACTTAAATACTAAATTTGCAGAATAGTCTTAAAAATGATGTCTTTATTATTTGAATATATCCTTTTGTAAAAGAACCGTGTTAACCAATTATTGCCTAAATCCTTACACCAATAAGGAAAGGCAAACTTCAGAGTTTTTTCAACATCCACCGCCATCAGATGTGTTGAAAATGTTGAAAAACCTCTAAATCAGGTCCCAGACTGTATCAAACTGACCGTATCGATGCATTTTTTTTTTTGCAACATGCTTTTTCTCTCAGTGTTTACATTTGATCACTGCTGCACTCTAAGAAATGGAAATGTCATGAGAGCTGTGCAAAATGAAATGTCATTTTGTATACACTGTGTATACAAAATGACATTGTTTAAATCTAAGTCAAACTAATATCAGACTTACCTCAAAGTTTAAGGAGAGTTTTTTCCCGTTCTCCTTGGCGATAGCTTTGGTTATTTCCAGAGCTTTTGAGGAATTGTTCGTGGAGATGAGCCACCTTGGTGACTCTGGGACGAACCTGATGAATGAAGCCGTGAAAAACATTTAATGTTCAGGGAAGACATAAAGGGTTATTTGAGGATAATGTAAATGGTTGTTATTACTGGGGTGGCTTAATCTTTAATTTAGGCATGTTAGGGATTTTATAACCCAATAATTAATCTGAAGGCAACTTTTTATTACCAGTAGAAAGCAATATAAAGGGCACATGGTGCAGTGATGGCAACCTGTAGCCAACGCCAGTCAGTGATGAAATAGGCGAGGAGGGGGAGGATGAGCATCCCAACACTGAAGAACATCTGATACAAGATCCCGACTGTGCGTCTGTACTTTACTCCCACTATTTCTGTCACTAAAACAACAGAAAAGCAGAACAATAAAGCATATTCAGATTATATAGCGGAAACAAGACAACTGGTTGATTTCTACCTCCTTTATCTAGCACTTTTTATAGGATTTGACATGCTTATACGGGTGGAAAATTTATCAGCACTAAAGGTGCATAGTCACGTTATAAGCCTATACAAAAAATACCAAAAATGATGATCAAGATAAAATAAGATTATTTACCCTGACATCTGTATTGATAGCGTTTTGATTTTCCTTTTTGAGCCTTAATGGCACCAGACTAGGCATGATTAGGACACATAATCCGATGTGACATCATCTGCTGGCAGT